TTCTCGTTATCGATTTTTATATAGAAAATCGTATAATTAATGTGACTACTATTTCTCTCTCTCTCTCTCTCTCTCTCTCTTTCTCTCTTTGTGTATAACAGGTATTGCGTGATTGGTATGTATTTTACATGTTCAACGAATTCGATGAAGCTGTCGAAACGAAATTACATTGCTTTCTCGTGATTACCGTTGAATGGTTGTACAACGAATGTGAAACACATTTGTGTATCAGATATCACTGTGTTGTAGTTGTATGTTAATTAAAGTCAATTAATGGCGTCTTCTCTACTCATGTCTTCCATTTTCTTCACGCGTCATTACTATGCTCGGTAACCCATTTCTAAGATGCTTACGAAGACGCATTTTGTTTTGTAATACCTACGTGTTTGCATAGCATGCATCGTTCCCATAAGTAACGGGAAGTTCTCTCTAGGAAATAATATCAGTAGAATTTGTTATCTTATTTTTCTCACATTTTCCAAGCTCGCGATCGAAATCAATCCCGGGTAAATGCATTGTAAAAGACATGTAAAATTGAGTTTGACTATAAATGGGAGAAAGAGAGAGAGAGAGAGAGAGAGAGAGTGAAGGTGTCTACTATGGAAAATTAATTAACGTGACGATTAATTTTAGTCCTGTCGACGTTGGCAAGTTTTTATCGAGTAAAAGAGTACTTTGCTTAAAAAATGCACGTCGATCTCGTCTTTCTCAAAATCGCCTATTAAAAATCCATTGAAGTCTCTTAACTGATGCCTTGCAAATGCTTCTCTATCGGTCGATTAATTGTTTTTCTCTTCGATCTTCGAAATAAGATTAAATAATACTTGTAAATATGTTATATCGAAAGGAAAAATTGTTAGATAAATAGATACAAATGGGAAGTGTTGTTCATACAAGTAACTATAACTATCAGCAATTTAGCGTGAAACCACTCGCAAATAGACACTTGTTGGATGAGGCGTCAGGAACAAACTCGAATCATCTAACGCTGCTAATGTTGGATCTCGTGTCACGTAATTCAAGATGAATCTATAGAACTTTATAGTCGAGTGTCATGCCGCGGTGGCTAGTGATTTGCAGTCGTACGACCGATTTAACTTTCCATCTTACGAAGAATGTCGTCGACTTTCCCGTCGAATGAGTCTCGATCGAAGTCAACATAGAAAGGAAATAGAAAAGTAAACTCATTGCAAATCTACTTCCGGTATAACCAGTCCGCAATAGTTTTTTTTTAGCGTAATCAGGATGCAATCGTCTTTAAATATAAGAAATACCGCGATAACTTTTTACACGTTGCGATGTCTTATTTTGTTGTTAATAATTAAACAGGTTTTTCTAAATTGATAAAAGATTTTAGAGTTAGGGTAGTTTGGTCGAAAGTTGAAAAGTATCTTTTGACTTTTCAAAAAAAAAAAAAAAACAGGAAAACTTAAGAAATGACGAGAATTATTTAGATAGTTTAGTTAGTAGGGGGCTAGAAATGAGGAGATGGAAAGAAACATGCGAAGAAGGGATGTCTAACATTTTTTAAACGTCTGGATACTTTTGTAGCACAGGGGGGTGGGTAGGCTGTATGTACGCACCAAAGTACCTGACGACGAGAGCTTTTCGTCTCGGGACGATACGGAGAAGGACCCTCTAGTTTTTTCTTTCTTTTTTATACGACGAGTCAAGTAGCAAAGGAAGAACAGAGCTTGCGTCGTTCTATTGCACAATTTGAAGTACCGAAGAAGAAGAAAAAAAAGAAAGATAAAATCCTCAAGATTATATCTCTATTTTTTCGCGTCTCTACGTCTGTCAAGTAAACCACTTCCGTTAAGGTTATGTATTCCTGTATGTAGTAAAAAAACATGTATGAGCTGTATAATCATTTTTCAAGTAGAAACAGAGAATATTTTCTAACAAGTCAATTAAAATATATGATACAATTTAATAAATAAATATTTTGTTTGTATTTACCTATCGTTAGAGCGTGGAAGATGTCAAATACATATGTCAAATACATATCATTTATTTCTATACATTATTTATAGTACGCATATATGCGAGAGTAGAAAATGCAAATAATAGTGTTGTATGGTAGCAATAAGCATTTTTATACGAATAAAAAATAAATATTTGCGTTAAATTTCCTTAGTTTCCATGATCTTTTCGTTGACGCATAATGACGCAAGACAACTCGAGGTTGGTTCGTTGAGTTGTAGGGATTGGCGAAGGTGTGCGCAGTTGCTTTACTTGGAGTAAACTAACTCGCACCAGCTCATTAATAGCCGGATCCTCCTGCAACTCTAATGAGAATACACGTTGGCTTCTTCTTTTCTTTCTTTCTCTTTTTATAGCATATCATTTTACCGCAACATTTTATCGCCTTCTTTACAAGGCCAAACTTTTTCCATTTTAGACAACCGATGTTTTTCTACGAATTTTCCATTTTTTTTTACTACGCTGGAAAATAATTAAATATATTTTTTTTTATTTTTGTTGTTGTTGTTGTTGAAATAATTATAACGACATTTGTTCGTCGATTTATATACGTCTCAAGTCAGTCTCTGGCGAATTATAGCGAAAACGTTATTAAACTTGATTAGAAGCAAATTCTTCATATTTCTCTCTCTCTCTCTCTCTCTCGCTTTTTTATTTATTTATTTTTGCTCTATTTTTCTGTCTCCTTTCTTCCTTTTATAATGCATATGTACGTATGACGTTGCAGATTCTTCTTGCGAGAAATATCCTCCTTGTATTTGCACTAGAGCGATGATTCTGCAGAGTACGTTATAAACGGAAGAGGGTGAAATCGTTTGGAAACAGTTAGCATTTTTTTTCTTTCATCATTTTATAATAAGTGATTAAAAATAATTGCATAAAGATTGTAACATGTGAGGGAAAAAGGGAAAAAATAATAAAGAAAAGGTTGGAAGGGGTAGAGAAAAGATAGTTGAAATGTTGCTGGAAGAAAAAGAAAAGGAATATGAGTAGAAATCCATTGAGCGTCGTAAAGAAATCGTAAAGTCTCGATGGCATCGCCGTTAACCGATATTACCTACCTACGAAGAAGGTATACGAATACGACGACCGCTTTATTTTGATTTTTGATTTTTTTTACTTTTCTATTGCAGACTAACAACACTCTTTCTTCAATTCTTTTCTTTTTCTGTTTTGTTTTTTTCTTCTACGAGAAGAGAAGAGAATGCTGTATCATTTCAATTCGTTTTATTGTTAGTTGGTACAATCTTCAAGATGTTCCTCGAGTGTTCTCGAATAGTTGTGCTTTAGTTTGAAAATCACTTTAACAAATTTAACGGAACGAACGTTTGCCTTTAGAAATTCAAATGTTTTTTAGTTTTTTTAGTCGATCGAAGTAAATTTTAGATTTTCACCTTTTACAACAAGGACAATTCAGATATATTGAATATTATAAAAATGGCAAACTATTAAAGTACTCGTTTAATTAATACATTATGCAAAAACAGATAATTGTGGTATTAAATAAGAGATGTTTTAGCGGAAATCGAGTTGCGACATGACACTAATGATCTTCTCGAGGGTATTCATCCTATCGTTGCTATTGTATTTCTCTCTGTTTGCAAGCGTTAGAAGTTTGAGGATGACAAAAAAGCAAGCTTGCTAGATAGAATGATGGGGTGCGGCATAACACCCGTCTACGACTTTCAGCAAACAAAGCTCTTTCAGAAGAATGAAAGAAGCGTCGTCCTACGCAAGACGAGCAATGTGTCGAGCAATGTGTCGAGCAATGTGTCGAGCAATGTGCCGAGAAATCTGGCGAAACCTACTCAAAAATGGTTGAAGCCTTACTCGATTCGTCGTCGTCGTTTACATCTCAACAATGTTCTTTGTTTGAACGTAATACTTTTTAAATTCTATATTGCGAAAACAAAATCTTTAACTTGGGTCCATCTATCAGGTAACTGCCGAATTTTTGTTGACGAAAATAAGATGTCAATTTTGATACAATGAATTTAATATCCATCGAAATTCATTGTTACGTTTAATGCATAAATATTTTTAATGAAGAAATGTTGTTGAAAAGCACATACTGTTTGGACGGTGCAAACAGAGTCGAGTAGAGTACTCGAGAACGTGTACATACTTTGTCAAATGTTTGTTTATCCGTTTTAAAGAAGCATTACGACAGTACGAAACGCATAGTAACAAACGAGTTTCGCAATCCATTAATTGATAGTATCGATTTAGCTATCGCTTTGGCCTTTCCGTTATCGAATTTCTCGGTGATAACACAGTAGGCAGATTATCAGATTTTTAGATCCGTTGACATTTAGCTTTACACGTTAGCACATTTACAATGTCTACGTTTCGAAGCAGATATCGTTATAAAGATGATAATAAAAAAACTATTACAACAAGTTATTATCGACGTAGCAACTGTCATTTTAATCTACGAGAATCGATTAGTCGAAGCTAATCGCTTTTAAATAATTATTTTGGAAAATAGAAAATTTCATGTGTATTACGCAAGCATTAGGTCTCTCGTAACAGTGCACGAGGCTCTTCCTTAGAATGGAGGCCGCCTAGAAACCGGAGAAATGCAGGAGGGCATTATAAATGCTTGTGCTTTGCCGGGCACCGTCGTTTCACTGGCTGAGAAACTATTTTCAAGCTAAAGTTTTTAGAAATATGGGTCACATATACACATACGCTCTCTCTCTCTCTCTCTCTCTCTCTCTCTCNTTGCCATCGTCGCTATCGTCGACGCTATACATAATTATACGCATGAGATTGGTGAGCGTCGACCGAACAACACAATCTTCATACGCTCTCTCTCTCTCTCTCTCTCTCTCTCTCTCTCTCTCTCTCTCTCTCCTTCTCTTCCTTTCCATTTGAATCTTTTTTGAAAATTTGAGAAGAGCAGAAAGAAGGAGAGAGAGAGATGGAGGGTAAAAAAAGATATTGAACACATTTACAGGAAGGAAAAACGAGACAACTTGGCTCACGAACGTTTCCTTTTGTTAATTATGTTACAGCTCGATGATACGGCTCTTCAACTCTACAAAGATGGCGATTATGGAGCTTATTTGGATCTTGAGGCTTCGATCAGCGAACAACAAGAAGAATTTGAAGGCTTTCAGACAAAGTAAGTCGAACAATTGTTATTATATTAAATAGTCGAAATTCGCTGGTGATATAAGAATCGTATTGCCGACAAAATAGTAAAGCCGAGAAAATGCTGCTATTTATACATATATACGTATAGATAAACTCGTAGAATTTCCAGGGATATAAATACTTTCGATGTTAGAACCGGGTGTGTATTGAATTGGTGTTAACACGGTGAAGGTTAGCTAGCTAGCAAGTTGCGAGCTAACTCACTGGAAATTATCACGGCTGAGCCGGTGCTATCGACACCAATATTCGCTCGAGCTATTTTCCGATTCGGCTAGCTACGTTCTCTACCACTAACGAGAATCATAATCTACCCAACAGAGAGTTTAGTTTTAATCGCGAACCTCTATCGAAACTTTCCTTCTCTCTTCCCTTTATTACAGACTAATAAAAAGAGAGAAATAGAGAAGATATATGAAAATACAATAGAGAAAGCAATATATATGTATATATATTTATATATACACATGGGATATATGTTTAAAACTCGAAACTGGGTCGAGTTTAGGTAGGAGGAGAGAAATTAAGTGGTAAGCATAAATGATACCTCCTGGCTTGGAAATTTGTTAACTTTTATTTTTGTATACTATTCGCCTACCTTATTGTCTATCTTTTCTATCTTTTTCTTGTTATTGTTATTTTTATTATTTTTCCAATCATTCACCATGATAATATTGTTAGTAGGTGGAAAAATTGTAATGCGTTTCTATCGCGATTTCGCATGCGAAACTTGACCGTCTTGAATTGTTTTCCGATAGTTTTTTTTCCCTTTCACCCGATGTTACAATACGGGTGACGCCATAAAAATTGGAACCTTTATCAAAAACGTTCGGTGATTCGTGCGAAGAGGAGGAACCGAGGGACTCGTAAAGTGCGAAATTACAGGAACGTGTTTGCGAATATAAAATAGCTTTCTTTTTTTTTTTTTTTTACCATTGGATCGTTTGCTTCGTCGAATTACCGATACTTTTTGTTCTTGAATTGTAATCGAAATACACAAGGGAATAGATGAAAAAAAGCTTTTCGGAAAGAGAAAGGTTCTTTCGTTTGCTACTAGTAAGGGATCGTTTATCTTGGAAGAAACTTTATACACTCCAAGCGACTTGTTTGTTGCACGCTGCTGCCGGACTTTCGCGTTAAGAAATCGCTCAAGGTGTTTCTAAGCTCCGTCTGATCAACGCGAAATTTCTCTCGGGACGTGGAAGTACTTTGTTAAAAAACAATTTTTTCCTACCGGTCGATGGATAAATAGATTCAAATTGTTCTTTACAAATTTTATGAAAAAAAAAAAAAAAAAATAATAAAAAGTTTTTCTTTGAAATGAAAGTATTCATTTAGAATTACTGGAGATATTATTTCATAATTCCATAGAAAGAAGAAATCTTTAGAGGTTAATTAATTAAAGGGACAATTAATTGAAGACTCTTTTTGAATTGGCACAAATTCAAGCCTTGTTATCTTTACAACGTGCTCCCATTAACCATTTTTTTGGTCCACGGTATAGATAGTAGTAGTAGCAGTATTGTGTTTAATCCGATGGCTTTTGCCTTTTCATTGAAAAGAAAATTCTCGAGCGTGTTGTATCTTTCTGCTATGGCTCGTTATCGTCAAAGTGAAAAGAAAAGAGAGAGAGAGATAGATAGATATAGAAAGAGAGCTTTGGGAAGTAGCAAGTTCGTGGTCAATGTGTAGGCGTTGAAAGTTCAAAAAGTTATCTTCTTGATTCCCTACGCGTCCTACGTTTTACTGAAAGGAAGTCTCCTTGGACCTTGACTAATAAATTCGTGGATTTTACGTCATCCAGGCTTTTTCCTTTTTCTTTAGGTATATGTAATTCATTGAAATGCAATTAGCTACCGTCAAGGAAAAATGATATATTTTCGCAGAGTATATTTCATGAATTTGAATACGAAGCTCATATTTCGAAACGATAACGATTAAATCTGCGCGCGTGTAAAGTGTTATAATATCTAGCATATTATATACTATGGTAATAAATCGGTTCATTGGTGTTATCGCGTTCTAATGTGCTTGGAGCATCCATCGCTCAACGTTAATGATATTATTGGCAACGATAGCCGAAAGCCATAAAGCAGTTTTCACTCGTCTCATGGGGAAAGCCGTGCCACTACGATTTCCGAATTATTTCATGATTATCGAAATTCTCTCTCTCTCTCTCTTTTTAACGATGTTACGTTGATGGCAAGAATGCAGTGTCCGTCGAGTATTAAAGAGATAACGATTAACGATTGTTCAGTATTTTATAGTAACTAATTTTCTAATTCTAATCAATATGCATTACTTTTCTAAATATATTTGAATAATAGGAAGAAGGAAACGCGCATGGACAATTAATTAATTGATAAATGGTAAATGACCGTTTCTCCTTTCTCGATGTACTAGGTATGCAGTAGGTAGTTATACGTGATTAGAATGTAATCAAAAACTACCATTGGTAACAAACGTCGCTCGATTTTCCCTCGAAAGGAGGAAACGAACGAAACGCATACCACCTATCTTTCTCTAAGGGAACGCTCAACTTTCTTCTAGTGTCTATGACCTTTTCCAAGCCGAAAACCGAGTCGCGAGGGCGCTTTTGCGTGCTTTCGCGTGCTTTCGCGTGCTTTCGCGTGCTTTCGCGAATAGTTGCCGACCTCGCTCGGAATAAATCGCATAACTAGGTTTCGAGATCTATTCCCAGGACATCGGCTGGCTGTCTACGCTAACCTACAATTTCTCTCATTCTCATTTTATAAATATCTTTCCGCATTAACACGAAGGCAGAGGTGGTAGGCAGAGGTGGTAGGCAGAGGTGGTAGGCAGACGCGTTCCCGCGCAAGTCAAGCCTGTTACAGCGTTCGTTTAATGAGTCAACCGTTTCTTTGTCGTTTTAATCATCAACGTCGTTAATAGAAATAACTATTTTTATCTTCTCTTTAATAATACCACAATCTATTTTGTTCGAAAGAAATTTCAAAAGTCTATTGGAAAGTTATTAAATACGATGTGATTTATTTGGATTTCTTTTTAAATAATATTCTTCAGATCGGTCGTTTTAATCCGAAGAAAGGTTGCGAGTGCATCGATGCGTTGACGTCACTTGACATGAATCACGGCTAAATAATATAGGGAAAGTTGTTGCACCATGTATATATTTAAATATCAACGATCGATCATTTTCATTGTTTTACCTTGCTAAGAGTACGAAGAACAAATTTAATATCAATAATGAACATTTATCGGTTTAAGATAAGAAAGTTGAGAGTCTCGAAAGTCGAAATGCATTGTTCGTCCGCGAAACGTAAAGCCCATAATTCAGTTAGTCGTCGTCGTCGTCGTCGTCGTCGTCGTCGTCGTCTAGAAGCGTTGCGTAATGATAGAACGAGTGCCATGCTCACTCCTAATTGCTTAATTAAATTAAACGCATAGTTTCAAGTTCTCCGGACCATTATGTAAAGTTGTCCAGGCGGTACAGGTATTATTCAAACTCTGTGTGTCTGTTGCATGTTTTACAGAACACAATCTTCCGTTGTATGAAAATGAATTTCGCTTTGGACTAAGAGAAAAAAAAACAACAAATGGAAGATTTTTATTCGTTATTCGAAGTCGGCTTGAGATTAAGAGTCAGAATGTACAAGTGAATACGCTTGCGTACTCTCATTCAAGACCACTGACTCTTCGTATAGGTATGTGTGCGCTTTAGGTGATATTTCAGGACATTTTAACTGCTCCTTTTACTACCAGGTGGAACTAACTGTCCCTTGCCTAGGTTCGCCTCGTAAACTCTTTATACCGAGAGGTACGTCTGGCAAAGCGTACCTAGACCAGTCGTAGTATTGAAATTCTCCCTCGTTAACACGAATATATCTTGCAGTACTTACGATCGTACGTTCCTTTTTCACTAAGACCCTAGCGTGTTTTAGACTCTCGGAATAAACAAGAAAAGGAGAGAGAATTTCAACGAGACCGATGATATTTATTTTTTTGTTGTTGATTTTTTAACGAGACTTCAATTTTACTCGCTCGATCGAGCTACTTATGCTATGAAAATAAATGAATTTCTATTTCGATCGTTTATCGACTGTGACCGATAATTACGTGCTGTTATCACGCAAAAAAGAGAGAGACAGATAGAGAGAGAGAGAGAGAGAGAATTTATGTTGGAGCGCGCGCCAGTAGACGAGGTGTTGGCTCATTACACAATTAAATTTATGATCGACTCGAGCACCATTGGATGTTGCTGTCTATTGCGGAGGGTTGAATATAAATTGCACCCTGTCACGTTGAGTTATCGCTCGTACCTGATCGATGCGTAATAATACAAGTGTATTATTCGATTTTAATAACTCGTTAAGATTTGTACAATACACGTTTACGCAGTTACAATTTTATCGAATTATACTTGTCGCGGCTTTATATCTTATATAACATGAAAAAATCTGAATAAAAATAAGGAATCTTTGTAGACTATAAGTAAGAAAAGAAACGTTTCTTACGTTTCATAAGAATCTTGATTTACTGGAATCATACGTTCGATATAGTAGTTTGATATAATATATGTTGTTTGCAATGGAATCTTACCACTCGAGAGAACAAGTCGATATCCATCATTACGTTCGAACGATATTTCTTATCGTCGAAATAAGAGTTTCTCTTGGAGTTAAACGATAGCTTCACGGAAATGGCAAGTATAGAAATTCTTCCGTCTTCTTGAGTCGTTAAAGAAACGAGTAATTGTGAATTAGATATTTTCTTCGTGAATAAATTGACAAAAAATCAAATCGAATCGAAAAGAGAGATTTCCTTTTTCTCGTCAAATGATAGAAAAGAAATAACTCGGATGTAATAAGATGATGTACTAGAAGGGTGAGTTAATCAATTTTTCAATTCACCCACGTATATACTAAGAAGAGTTCTCTAAGAGAAATACGATGACCGATATTCTGATCTATCGTTAAGCTTCTCTAGGGA